TATCTTTGACGGCTGAGAGATAGCACTTCCGGGCCGTCTTCTGACCCCCATTCAAGGAACCAACAGAGCCGTCATCCCTCTCATACTTAATGAGCATGAGGGAAGGGATGATTATAGCCTTGGCTTCGTTGAGGGTTGGCCGACCCAAAATAATGTTGTAGGCGGTCAGCTCCTCAACGACCAAAAACTTGACGACCAGGTGTCGCCTTTTCCTTTCTCACCCAGCCGGATTGGTAAATCAACCCTTCCGACTGGGTAAACCATTCCACCCCCAAAACCAACCAAGGGGTGGGTGACCGGAGGCATGCTGTTGACATTGTATTTCAGCTTTTGCAGGCACCGGAGGCTGATTATGTCTGATGAGCTGCCGGTGCAATAAGGATCCGTCCAACCAGCTGGTTGGCAACTTTACATTCAATGACGACCGGGTCATCATGCGGACGGCGGACGCTGCCCCTGTCCTTCTCAGTGATCAGGACGTCTGGGAAGGAGGAACTAGCAGACGCCTGCTCATCATCATCTTTGTCCATCTTTCGAAGATGGCTCTTGGTGCCCCGGATGGTTGGGCCACCGCATGAGAACCCGCCTGCTATTGTGTAGACCGGCTCCTTGTCAGTGTCCGAACTACTAGCAGGATGGGGTGTCTTAGACGACTGCCCCAGATTCTTCTTTTTAGTCCCTTTGGACTTAGTAATGTAGGAATTTAACATCCCCTTGTCAGCCAGACGGTCCAACGCCCGTTGAAGGCTGAAGTAGTCGTTGGTGTCATGGCCAACCTCCTCATAGTATTGGCAGAATTTGTTTTTGTTCCTTGATTGAATGGAACTTTTCATTGGATTCGGCTTCTCTAGGGACAGCTGGTCCTTGAATTCCATGAGGATGGAGTTGCAGTCCTTGTTAAACTCGTACTTAGGAACGTACGGTTTAAATTCCTTCTTCTTCTTCTGGGACGACTAGTCAGAGTCACTAACCGCCCAGATTTCCTTTCTTTTCTTGCTCTCTTCTTTCTTTTTGGCCGGCTGAGCAGGCCAGCTGTATTTCTGCCTGTCGGACTTTTTGGAGTCCGACTGGTTACCAGGCGAGCAGAGGTCGGTTGCTTCAATGTAGCTTTCCGCCTCCCTTAGGGCCGCCTGTAAAGTGAAAGCCCCTTTTCTGACTAGGTCGAACTTAAAGGTCGACCCGTCTCTCAGACCCTTGAAAAAGTCTGTAAAAGCTACCTCATCAGACGGTCCTTGAATCTGAATTCTGATCAGATTGAACCGCCTCACATAGGAGCGCAACCCTTCTCTTTCTCCCTGCTTAATGGTGCTCAAGTCAAGACTAATTTTCTTAGCAGGGATGTTCATTGAGAAGTTGGAAGCAAACAGGAAGGCAAGCTTCCTGAAACTATCAATGGACCCGGCTGGCAAGTTGCCAAACCATTGTTGGGCAATGCCCTTCAATGTAGCCGGGAAGCATCGACACCAAGTGGCATCATCCAACCCTTGTAAGTACATGAGGTTGATGTATGCCATGAGGTGATCTTCCGGGTTGGTGGTACCATCATAGGTACCTACCAGCACATTTTTAACCTTGGCCGGCTGTGCCGCCTCGGTTATCTCCCAGGTGAATGCAGAAGGTTGTTCACCCAGGCGGAGCAGACGAAGCTGCCAGTCCAGTGGCCGGATATTGTTATATGCCGCCTGACCTCCGAAGAAGGCCGGCTGCATGAAGTGAGGAGGATACTGACCGTAGACCTGAGAAGGTACATACGGTACAGTTCCAATCATCTAAGGGCCAGAATGGACGGTATTACCGCCTGTCTAGCTCTCATGCAGGGAAAGTGCATTCCCTGCAGAGGTGTTGTTGAAGTTGTCGGGAAAGTTCGACGTAGAAGCCAACTCAGACAATTGTTGATTTCTCTTCCGGTTGATGATCTCCCAGGCATCAAGACTTGATTTTTTACTTCCCACCGGCTGTTGGGTCCGGCGGGTATTGTTGGTATTCCTCTTAGGAAGAAGAATTTTGGACCAATCAATGGTCCCGGCTGCCTTCTCCTTTGGTAAGGAGTGGGCTGTCGATCTCTAACTAAATTCCCCTTTTCCAGAGGAGTCTTCTTGGCTGACTGACCCCTACTTGGGCCAGCCCGGCTCTTAGTGATCAGTTCTTTAATTTCACCCTTGAAACTTGTCATGAATCTCATGAGTTCGTCTCGGGTGACAGGTGCTGATCCAGCTGCCGTATGGGTTTCCCCTTCCGGCTGCCCAGGTGGTCGATTTGTACCCGCCTGGGAGGCACCGCGCTCCAAAGTGTCTCTGGGCCGGATGTGCTTGGTTATCAGAGAGCCATCATTGGTTGTATAGCTTTTGACCTGAGGATCTTCATCCTCCTGGTCTGTAAAAACTTTCGGGTCATCGCCCAAACGGTTAGGAGGTGGTACAGACTCTTGAACCATCTTCGAGGTACTCTCCCCACAAACGGCGCCAAATGTTTTGGGTAATTTTGTCCCTCGGGAGAGTTACGTCACGAAGTCTAATCCGGATGAGTTATACCTGCAAAACAACGGAGAATCCGGGTGGTTGGAGCTCCGCCTCCGACGATCAAGTTAGTAACCTGAAAGAGAGTAAAGAATGCGGAAATTTAGATGGGGATCTGCTTGGATTCCAAGCTCAGGTGTTTCTCTGATGTGAGAGAATGTAGGTGTAATAAATGATTGAATGTGTCCCCAAAATGGGGAAATATCTCCCTATTTATAGGATCATTGGAGGACGTGCCCCTATCTAGGTCACTTGACCTAGATTTCAGTGGGCTGCGCCGTTTTACAACGCTTCCTGGGATTTGGGCCCTTGAAGGCCGCCATTTCAGGGATGTATCAAAGGGGGCCATGTGTCAAGAGGATATTAAGCCATGTGGGCCATCCTGAACTCGACACGTGGCCTCCTCTCATTGGTCCACGTGTCTAGGGTATTTTTACCCTAAACACTTCCCTCCTCTGCTTCTAAACGACCATATCGCATAGATAATTGGTGTTTAAAGTCGAAGGATGTCTCTCGGATTATTGCTTTTATCTGGGATATGATGCTGGTAGGTTCACCAATGTTTGTTATCTCGAGAAAACTAGAGCAGGTCCGTTCGAAGTTGCTTTCGTGGTGTGTCAACAACAAAAAATCGTGGGGTATATATCAATTGGAAAGAGCTTCATGCTTCTTTGGATCCTTTGGCTCAAAATTTGGATTCAAAGCTCCATCGTCATCTTTTTATTTCTACTCGGGAAGAGAAAATTGCTCACTCTTACGCTGCTTATTTATATTGGAAACAAAGGGCAAAAGTTAAATGGGATAAATTTGGAGAATCTCACTCTCATTTACTTTCCTCTTATGCTCAAGCTCGGAAACGGAAAAATATAGTTCATGGTCTTAAGGATTCGGATGGGGTTTGGGTTCATGATCAGCAGAGTATTAGTAATATTGTTCAGAATTATTACTCTCAATTGTTCTGTGCTCCACATCAACAAGTCTTTCCGTCGGATTTTGTTTGGAATGATTTAAATTTACCACAAGTTTCCGATCTGGATGGCTTTGATCTTTTGGCGCCTGATTCTGCAGAAGAAATTCAGGCTGCTATGTTTCAGATTGATGAGTCGAAAACTCCAGGACCGGATGGCTTTTCTTCTGCTTTCTTCCGTTCGCACTGGTCCACTGTGGGTAAATCGGTTATAGATGCAGTGCAGTATTTTTTCTATCATGGTCATATGCTGAGAGAATGGAATAGGACTTTCATTACTCTTATTCCCAAAGTGGAGCAACCGGAGTTTGCCTCTCCATTTCGCCCAATTGGTCTTTGCAATGTTCTTTATAAATGTATAGCAAAATGTATTTCAGCTCCTCTTCGGAAAATTCTCCCTCAGTTAGTCTCGGATTTTCAGAACGCCTTTGTTCCGGGTCGGCTCATGTCTGATAACAGTCTTGTTGCACAGAAATTCTCTCCTATATGGATAAATCTCGAGGTCGTACTATGTGTGCAGCTTTGAAATTAGATATGAATAAAGCCTATGATAGGATTAATTGGGACTTTTTGTGGCAAGTTCTCAAGGCCTTTGATTTTCCTCCAAGTTGGATTCACATAATTCAGCAGTGTGTTTCTATAGTTTTTTTATCAAGTATTGGTCAATGGTAATCCTACAAAAAATTTTCGTCCAGTTAGGGTCTACGACAGGGTGATCCTCTTTCTTCGTATTTATTTGTTCTTTGTATGGAAGTTTTTTCGGCCATGCTTCGCAAAGCTGAAACTGATCGTTTGTTTCGAGGTATTAAGTTTGCAGACGTTCTTCTTCGGTCTCGCATTTAGGGGTGTCCGTTCGGTTTTCGGTTTGGATTTAGTCCAAATCCGATCCAATCCAAAATATAATTCGGTTTTCAATTTTCCAATCCGATCCGATCCGAATTTCTCTCTTGGTCCAATCCGAACCAATCCGAATTAAAATTCGGTTATTTGGATCCGATCCGAAAATCCGAATTATAATACATTATTTTTTTAAGCGCCTAATACAATTATAAAAATAAAGCTTTACTATAAATAAAAGTCTTCAAAATCATGATTAAAATACATAGTTCAACGTCAAGTCATTAATTAATTAATACAAATTTTCTCTAATTTATTTTATGTAGTATTAAGTATTTGAGTTAAACTTCAAAATATATAGAAATCCATATTTATACAAGCTTAATTTTACAATTCGGTTTTCGGTTTGGATTGGATCCAATTAGGGTCAACCGATCCAATCCGAAAATCTGAATTTCCAAAAAATCTCAATCCGATTCGATCCGATTTATAAGTTCGGATCCGATCCAAATTGATAATTCGGTTGGATTGGATTGGATTTCGGTTTTTATCCGAATTATGGACACCCCTACTCGTATTTGTTCTTTGCAGACGATGCTCTTATCTTTTTCCAGCCCTCTCCTGCGGCCTGTTTAGAAGTGACTAAAGTACTTTAGAACTTTTGTGATATTTCCGGGCAGATGGTTAATCTTCAAAAATCCTTTATTCGCTTTAGTACTAATGTTCCGGATGATTATCGGGATTACTTGGCAACTTCTATGCATTTGAGGGTGGAATCTTCTATTGGTTCTTATCTGGGTCTTCCGGTTGATATTGGTAGACACAAATGTAAAGCTTTTCAGCCTTTAATAGATAAGGTTGCTAATCGATTGAGTGGATTCGCTTCCCTTCATCTTTCGTCTGCTGCTAAATTGGTCATAATCAATTATGTGCTTGTGACTTCTTTCAATCATATTTTGTCTGTTTTGAAGATTCCTTCCACAGTCATAGACAAAATTAATAATCTTTTTCTTAGGTTTTGGTGGAAATCTACTCCCCACTCTAGAGGTATTGCTATGGCTCCCTCTTCTGTCCTTTATAGGCCTAAGGGTCTTGGAGGTCTTGGTCTTCGCCATTTGGGTTTTTTCAACTCTGCTTTGTTGGCAAAGCAAGCCTGGCGTGTCATGCATAATCCTCAGCTTCTTGTTTCTCGTATTTTCCATGCGAAGTATCCTTATCTCATGGATCACAGTTTCCTTTCTAGACTCTCTCGCCCTTCTTGGGCGGGTAATAGTTTGCTTCATGGTTTCCACTCTCTTCAGTCTGGCCTTACTTAGAAAATTGGGAATGGTACTAAGGTTCGAATTTTTGAGGATTCTTGGGTTCCCGACTCTTTAGTGACCCCTAAGAATTCTCTTGTTGGAACGGTTCACCCGATTCTGGTGTCCTCTCTTATCAATTCAAGCTCTAACACTTGGGATTCCTCTCAGATTCATAGAATGTTTGATTCTTCTACTACAGCTAAAATTCTGAGTTTGGAGCGGCCGACCCAGTTAATGGATGATTTCGTCTACTGGAAATTTTCTAAAGATGGGAATTTTTCTACCAAATCAGCCTATGCTACTCTTATTCAGGGCTCGACTCTTGCAGCTTCTGATGGGAGTTCCGTTTTAATCTCTTGGTGGAAGAAATTCTGGGCCTTTCCCATTTTACCTAAATAGAAAATGTTTGTTTGGAAGTTGATACATGGGGTCACTCCTGTGGCGGCCTTATTATGTACCAAGGGTATCCCTGTTGATCCTTAGTGTGCCTTTTGTCATTCTTCTCAGGAGACGATCGATCATTTATTTTTACATTGTCCGTTTACTCGTCGACTTTGGAGATGTGGTCCTTTGGGTATTCATCTTCCACCTGAGAATTTCCCCTCTTTTGCCCTTTGGTTCTCCACCTTGATTACCCTCTCTTCGAGTCATGGGAATTGGAGTAATCTGGATTTTATTTTAGCTTTTACCTGGGCTATTTGGAGTTGTAGGAATGGTGTTCGATTTAAGGACTTGGCTCCTGATCCTCTATGTGTGTTTCGGATTGCTCAAGAGTGGAAATCTCGAAGTTCTTCAGTCAGGGAATTGGATGTTGAGGATATTTCTCCTCCTCCTGGTTTTCATCCTCGACCTCTCTTGGTTATCCTCTGTGGTCATTTTAGTGACCAAAATGTCGTTGATTTACTCTTTGATGGGGCTTGGGATTCTACTGATTGTAGAGCTGGTACGGGTTGGTGTTTTTATCAGGCAGATATTTCTCAATGTCTTGGGGGTGGAGCACAGGCGTGCTTTGCTCTTTCAGCCATTCAAGAAGAATTGTTTGCTTGTCTTTTGGCTTTGAGGATGGCGCAGAATCGTGGTTTTACTCAACTTCGAATTCATACTGACTGTTTGGGTGTCTTCTTCAGTCTTCGGGATCATTGCTCAAAAGACATCTCTGCTAGTTGGATTCATCAGCAGATTGAGGATATTATTCCTCTCTTTTCAGCCTGTTCTATCCAGAAGGCTACCATGGACTTTATTAGGCCTGCTCATGAGCTAACGGTTTCAGCTAGGAAACGTCATTCTCTTTATCTTTCCTTCTAGTTTAGTTGTTATGTTTTGTGTGTTGATCTTTGTCAAAAAAAAAAAGAAAAAAAAAAAGAAAAAATGTCATAGAACTATATAAGAAATTCAAAAACATTGCATGAAATCAATAATCTTCACCGTTTCTAAAAACTATATATTGTCATGCTATATGACCTAAAAAATCTCAGAAATAATGTATGAATCAATAGCTTTTATAACTTCACCGTTAATATTTAAAGGAAATAGAAGACTAAAATTGAAGAGGAGAACACGTGAAATTGAATTAGAGAAAAATGAAAAGAAAAATTAGGCAACTGACGTAATTCTAATATATTTTTATAGGGTAATGTTATACATAGCCCTTAGGGATATATATAAGCATTAAAAACACTATTGAAAATTGTATGAAATTAGGAATTCATGACAAAAACACACGTAGATCAGTGTAATAAGTGTGTTTTTGTCATGATTTTCTAAATTTATACAATTTTCAAGACTGTTTTTAATGCTTATATGTAGCCCTAAGAGCTATGTATAACATTTTCCTTATTTTTTATACAAAATTAAATACTTAGGCCTTGTTTACTTCATTTTAACATACTAATATTCAGAGAAAAAAAAAATTGTACTCGTAGTATATAGTAGCAATCAATTAAATGTTTTATTAAAAAAAAAAACAAACAATTACAGATTTACAGTCAATTAGTCATAGGGTAGAACGCAAATCCAATAAACTTGGAAGTAAATGAAATCTCAACCAAAATGGTATCTGGGTCTTATTTTTTTATTTTTTTTATTTTATTTTTTTGGTGTTCTACCCGGTTCACCCTTTGGGCTAATCCGGAATCGAGGATCAGTTCTGGGTGGTTAGGTTCCAGTCCCCTCTCAATTGTTGTTGCGGACTTGCGGGGGGTCGAACACAGGTCCTCCCTACCAAGTGTAGTCCCAATCACCACTACACCAACACCCAATTGGTCTTAATTATAGTATCAAAACATTTCCAATTATTGAGTGAGTCCGTTTTATTGTGATTTCACCCATTCAAAATTCGATATATATGTCCAATAATTTTTACTCTATTTATAATTTTAAGAACTTATGTAAAAAATTTAAAGTTATTTTTTTGTGAACTTAAATTTCACAAAAATAATAACGTAAATGCCTCGTTATAAGTATTAAAACGTGAACATGTAAATCGAGACATTACTTAATAAGCAAAACAAGGCATTTAAGTTATTTTTTTGCCAAATCTGATCTCAATTTAGATTCTTAAGGGGCAAAAATAGCCCCGAAAACCTTTAATGGAACACTTTCCAACGCGCAAATCGATAAAAAAAATATTAATAAATTGAGAGTGGACCCCACTAACGAAATTTTTAACAGCGGGATAACAGTAAGATTACTGTATGTATGGAAACAAAATATATATTGGGGTTATAGTGTGTAGAGTGATATATATTGGGGTACAACGTAGAAAGGTGAAATTAACGTGGTTACAATATAGAAAAACCCAAAAAAAAATGAGAAAAAAAAAAAAAAAAAAAAAAAAAAAAAAAAAAACACCACGTACTTGGTAGGATTTTTTTTTTTTTTTTTAAAAAAAACACTTATTATGGCTCAATGAATGTATGCATTCCAACTTCCAAGTCAAGAATTTTGACTAATAATTTTGATATATAATCATTTCAATAAAAGATCCATTACGGAGTATTATTTCTTCATATTTTTACTAATTGCACTATTTATTACTTGACGATTTGGCCTGGATTTTTGATGTCAAAGTTAGACTATTAATTTTGTCTTGTCTGTTATATACTTTCTATAGTTTGAAAGAAAATATAGAAAAAAACAGAAAAAAGATGGTCGTCGTTAAGACATTAACTTACTGCTAATAGTTTATCTCCCATATTCAACATAAAACACCTCTCTTTACTCTTTTGTTGATGAGTTGGGTTTTTTTTTTTTTTTAATTGGGCATGAACTTAGCACATCAATAAACTAAACAATAAAATTAAATGTTGATAAACTATGATTTGGCCCGATATCTAGAAAGATAAGCCCTACTGACTTGATCTATCTAGACATTGTGTATAGTACGTACATACACTTCAAAATTTGTAATTAGTTGTCGAATTTGATCCATTATCCGTCTCAGGGTAACCCTTTTCAACTTAGGGTTAGTCATGTTTCAAAAGTACAAAAGTAAATAAATAAAAAAGTTAGGGTTAGTGATGAAGTCTAATCATGCATAACTCTAACACAAATTTATATATATATATATATATATATATATATATATATATATATATATATATATATATATATATATATTGCTGATCACACTGTGTGGCCAGAGTTACTCGGTCAAGGGTTATTGTAGTTACTCGGTCAGGGTTATTCTAGTTAATCAGTCAGGGGTTACTTGAAAGGTTCGGTCAAAAATTACTCAGTTAGGGGTTACTTGAGGGGTTTAGTTAGGGATTACTCAAGAGATTACTCGATTAGGGATTACTCGGTCATAGGTTACCTGATGAATTACTCGGTCAGAGGTTAAATTACTTGAGAGTTTAGTCATAGGTTACGTACTTGTTCAGGAGTTACCTTTCATAGGCAACCTCCATCAAATTGCATCCAAAACCACCCTTCCCCACCGCCGCCTCGCCGAGCTAGCAAGTGTGCACGGCCCCATCATGCACGTCCGCCTAGGAGAAGTGCCTACGGTGATCATTTCCTCGGCGGAGACGGCGAAACAAGTGATGAAAACTCATGATGCTTTGCTTTGTAATAGGCCAACAATGTTGTTGGCAGAAGTAGCGTTCTATAACTCTACTGACATCGCTCTTAGTCCCAACGGAGACTACTGGCGCCAAGTTCGTAAGATCGCCATGCTCGAACTCCTTACTAACCGCCGTGTTCAGGTGTTTCGGCCCATAAGAGAGGAGGAGACTGTCGAGTTTGTCAAATCTTTAGCTTCTCAAGATGGCTCGGTCGTTAACCTTAGTAGCTTGATTTTTTCCCTCTTGTTTGACATCACTTTAAGGTAGGTATTTTTAATATATGTTTGATAAATGACTTTTTTTTTTCCTTTTTCGAACTATTATATTTTTGGCTTTTGAATTATTTTTTAGTCAAATGATCTAACGAGTTTTAAATTAGTTGTCCTTCTATTCATATTAGTTTGATTGTTTTATTTTTTTTTCCGTTACATGTAAAATTGAATGTTCAGTAGATATTTCAATTTATATATGTGTTGATTTCTCATAAGTTGTGTAACAACAGATTAGGAATGAACAAGAAAGGCAAAGATGGAGATGCGTTTAAAAAACTTGTAGGAGACATGACAGCGATTACCTCGGGATTTTCATTTGGAGACCTATATCCATCATTGAGATTCATAAGTACCATTAGTGGACTAAAAGGGCAACTTCAAGGGATAGTCAAGAGAATTGACAATTTAATGGATCCTATAATTGAAGAGAATATGTCTAACAAAAAACAAGGTATTGAAGACGAAGATGTGATTGGTGCTCTTCTAAAATTTCACAAGGACAACGTACGTCTTAACACCGATTTTTCTCTCACTACCAACAACATTAAGGCCATAGTTTTTGTAAGTTCAATTTAATTTATTGATTTCTCTCTTACATCAACTATTGTTTGGAATTTTAATTAATATTTGTGATTCTTCTTTCTCAACGTATATACATTTATCAAAAAATTCTCTATCACTTTTTTTTTTTTTTTTTGCATATATTATGATAAATTACTGTGATAAAACTATGCATGTAGGAGTTATTTGGTGCTGGGAGCGAAACATCTTCAACAGTACTCGAGTGGGCAATCTCTGAATTGTTAAAGAACCCTAGAGTAATGAAAAAGGTACAAGATGAGGTGAGACACATATTCAAAGGAACCGAGACATTAATAAATGAGGAAAGTCTAGACAAGCTAGAGTACTTGAAGCTTGTAATCAAAGAGACTTTAAGGCTTCATCCTCCTTTCCCTCTCTCGGTTCCAAGAGAGTCCATAGAAAGATGTGAAATCGATGGTTATGAAATACCTTCAAAAACTCGAATTTTTATTAATGCATGGGCTATTGGAAGAAGTCCAAAATATTGGACAAACCCTGAAAAATTTAATCCTGAAAGATTTGAAGAGTCTTCAATAGATTTCAAGGGAATGCATTTTGAGCTAATTCCATTTGGCTCGGGAAGAAGGATTTGCCTGGGAATGGGACTAGGTATAGCCACAATCGAGCTCGTGCTAGCCATGTTGCTTTACCATTTTGATTGGAAGTTACCTAATGGAACTGGACCTCAAGAATTGGATATGGAGGAGACCTTTGGCATAATATCGAGGAGGAAGAATGACTTGAAAGTAATTCCTATACTATCTACTTTCTCAGGTTTCAATTAATATGATGCTCTTTTTGTTGCTATATAAATAAACCATCTTGGCTTTAATTATGAGCAATGGTAATAATAGTATAACGTATTTTCTTTCAAATAAGTGATCTTGTGATCAATTTTTTTCCTTGTTATATTAACATGGAAAATTTGTTAGAAAGGTACTTATATATTCACTTTTTTGTGAAGAAGGATCTTATATGTTCAAAGTGGTGAAAAAAAGCCTTATAAGTCACTTTTGTTGTGAGGAGGGACCTTGACATCGGAATATGACCATTGATTTTACTTTTCCGGTGTTGACCATCACTCACATGGCACGTGATGTTTTAAAAAGGCCCTTTCGTTCATTTTTCCCCCAAGTTTTCACATTTTCTCTCTTACGATTCCCAAATTTTCTCTCAAAATCCCTTCTCTTTCCTTAAAAACAAGAGGAAAAAAAGAAGGAAAATACATTTTTAAAACATCACGTGCATATTGCATGATGGTCAATGCCGGAAAAGTGAAGTCGGTGGTCATATTCCGATGTCAAGGTCCCTCCTCACAACAAAAGTAACATATAAGGATTTTTTTCACCACTTTGAACATATAAGACCCTTTTTCACAAAAAGGTAAACATATAAGTACCTTTTAGACAAATTTTCCTATTAACATATCATGTATGTTTAATGTTTAATTATTATGTATCTTTTGTTTCAAAATATCTAATCTTATTACACACAAAATAATTCAAACAAAATACAAGTAATAATGTTGACGAGGCCGAATTGATCCCATTGTATATATCATTCCCCAAAATATTATTCAACCAAACTATGCTAACTGCACCACCAAATTACAGTAATATTTATTATGAGATAATTCCAAACGTACATGACTACTATTAAACTAGTAAATTACATGAGGCTAACCTAGTGGTGAATGTTTAAATTAAACTCGGGTCAAGGTAATTTCAGTAAATTACAACACTAGTATTCACTTATACAACTACACTTGTTCACTCCTTAATTAAAATCATATCATATTACAATTTTTTTTTTTTTTTAGGAAAATATCACAGTACAATCTAAAATAATAATAAAATAATACTAATTTTTTTCGACGGGATAATAATAATAATTATTATTATTATTACAAAAAATCAAAATATTCTTATAGATAAACCAAGAAAGAAAAAACTCCTGCATGTTTATTTATTTATTCCAAGAAATTTTGTCAAAAACCACCCATTAAAAACACTTCTTTTGTCAAAATCCACCCGAAAAAAAAAATTGTTGTCCAGAACCACCCAATTTTAAAAATTTGTTGCCAAATGCCACAGAAGTCTATTTTCCGGCATTGACCCTACCCACGTGCCTTGCAAGTGACTTTTAATAAACCCATCCCTTTCCTTTTTTTAAAATTTGAAGTTCCTCCATTATCTCTCTCCTCTCTTCGTTCTATCTCTCTCCTCTCTTTGCAAGCTCCATTGTTATTGACTAAGGCCCCGGTTTTTAGAGCTGCTTTGCTCTGCTAAAATTTTCTCTACTTTGCCTTTCTCTACTCTGCTCTGCTTAAAAATAATACTAAATATTAAATTATTATATTAATAATTAATATTTAATAATAATAATAATAACTAATAAATATTTAATAATAATAATATTATTAAAAAATAATATTTAATAATATTATTATTATTATTAAAAATAAATAATTAATAATAATAATGATAAATAATTAATAATATTATTATTATTAAAAATTAATGTATAATAATAATAACTAATTAATTAATTAATAATAATATTATAATTAGAAATTAATATTTAATAATAATAATAAATAATTGATATTTAATAAGAATAATATTATTAAAAATCAATTTTTAATAAAAATATATAAATAATATTCAATAATTATAATAATTATAATACTTAATATTGAATTATAATAATAATAAATAATTAATAATTAATAATTATAATATTATTAATAATAATAATTAATATTAAATAATTATTATTATAATAATAATAATAATTAATATTTAATAATAATAATAATAGTAATAATAATACTTATCATTAATAATTTATTATTATTGTTATTATTATTATTATTATTATTATTATTATTATTATTATATTTTTTATAATAAAAATTAATATTTAAATATAATACTAATTATTAATTAATAATAATAATAATAATTAAATAATATTTAATAATTATTATTATTATAACTATATTTAATATTTAATAATAATATTTAATGATTATAATAATAATGTGATAATAATAATAATAGTAATAGTAATAATAATAATAATAATGAAATTTGTTTTGCTCGCTCTGCTATGCTATGATCTGCTCAACTCCGCTCTGCCCAGAAGCTCAAAAGAACAGGGCCTAAAAGTTTTGAAATTAGTAACACCAACTGTTGAGTAGCAACAACCTTAGATAATCCCTAATTTGTAAACTACTACCCGCTAATACTACATTATTAGGCCACTAAATTCCATCAAGGAAATCAATTGAAGAAGGAAATCAGATCAAACGAATGGGTTTAAGCCATCATATCATCATCATCTTCATCATCAAATTCCAAGAACTCGGAAGCTACAATCTGGTGTGACGCAACTACATCTTGACCAGGGGCGAAGCCAGGATTTTTAAGTCCTGGGTGCCGGACTTGTTAAACAATACTTCGGTTCAAAAAAATTTAATGTACTAAGCATGTATTCTATTCACCTAATTTTTACCTATTTGAACTTATTTGAACCTATCTGGACCTATTTGAACTTTTCAAAATTTATTTTAGTTGTAATTATACTTTGGTAGTTGGTGACCCTTATCAAAACCGTTATAATTTATACGTGAATTGGGCGATTCTTATCAAAACCTATTTCAGTTATAATTTATACATGAATTGGGTGATCCTTATTATGAAAACTTATTTTTTTAGGAACTTAACTTATCTAAATTTGTTAGACTTTACAAAAGTGAAAATAAGGTGAAAAAAAATTAGTTTAATCTTACTTTAGGAATTGAAGTACTAGATTTTTTTGCCCCAACAAAATTTGTGTTTTGCTCATTATCATCATTCAAATTACTTTTTGAATCCAAATTTTTCTAATTATAGAAGATTATTTAATGAAATAAACAAGTAAAACTACAAATCATAGTAATCATATAAATCACATTAAAGAATCTATTAATTTAATGAAATTACAAATTCAAAAAAAAAAACCTGGACGAAGAACTCCGTACTTTTTTTTGAAGGAAAGAACTCCGTACTTTGTTGAACTTGAACTCCCACTTTTATTTAAAAAAAATACTAGTTGTTTTTAGCTAGGTTTATTTGGGCCATACCATCGGGCCAAGAACAACCCACATTAATAATCACGTGGTTGTAAATTGTAAGAATACATGTTAAAGGATTTGTCTTTAAAAAAAAAAAAGAATACATGTTATGGAAGGACTTGAACCCGGGTCTCTTGGGTAAGAGTTTCAAGGTTTAACCAATGTGACAAGAATTGGAATGGCCAATTTATACTATTTCAATGATATATATAATATTTTTATCAATAATTATACTATTTCAATGATATATATAATATTTTTATCAATAATTTCCTTTATTCTATATAAAAAAAATCGGGTGTACAATAATTATTGTACATTCATTATAATTATAAAGATAGCATAAAATGATTAAAAGTTACCCCTGAAATGATGAATAAGAGTTACCCCAATATGCGTAAAAGTAACACAATTCAAATAAAAATTATCTACGCTTTATTAGTAAAGAATCACATTTTAATTGACTAAAAATCAATTATTAGTGATTGAATGTAATTAAATTACCTCTATAAAACTTTTCTTGTTATCTATTTATACTACCTCCGTTACAGGTTATGTGCAACGATTTGACATAAAGCAGAGAGGGAAAATGTCTAATCGTTGCACATAACCTGTAACGAGGGTAGTATAAAAATTGTATTATGTTTAAAGTTACCCAAAGAAAGGCAAAAAGTTATCCTAAAATTAGCTAAAAGGTATTCTTATACTGCTCGATGTACACTAATATTAGTGTAAACCGAGTGTATACAAAAGTTTTTGATTCTATATATTGGCTATATTCTTATAGATAAAGATAAAGATAAACCCAAAAAGAATTACGCCCACATGTTTATATATCTATATTTGCTTGTCATCAGATCACTTGCCATTCCAAATTTCCAACGTTAAAGATGATAAGTCATTATATCAAGATCTAGTTACTCCCATATATTTTATACTTAAACCATGAAAAGGAACTATGCTCCCACCCACATGTTTATATAAACAGTTCCATCAAACTTACAAAATCAAGTAATCATACAAATAAAAGTGTAAAACACAAAAATGGAGTCTTTTTGGTTAGTATCACTACTCTTTATCTTTTCATTCTTTATACTTGTCAACTTTTTTAAGAAACAATCACCTAAAAATCTACCACCAGGGCCTCCAAAGTTACCTTTAATAGGCAACCTTCATCAGCTAGCATCAAAAACCACCCTCCCACATCGTCGCCTCGCCGAGCTAGCAAGTGTGCACGGCCCAATCATGCACCTCCGCCTAGGGGAAGTGTCTACGGTGATCATTTCCTCGGCGGAGATGGCGAAAGAAGTGATGAAAACTCATGATGCTTTGTTATGTAATAGGCCATCAATTTTAATGCCACAAGTAGTGTTCTATAACTCTAGTGACATCGCTCTTTGCCCTTATGGGGACTACTGGCGCCAAGTTCGTAAGATTGCCACCCTCGAGCTCTTTACGGTCCGCCATGTTCAGGCGTTTCGGCCCATTAGAGAGGAGGAGGTGGTGGATTTTGTCAAGTTTTTAGCTTCTCGGTCTGGCTCCGTGGTTAATGTTAGCAGCAAGATATATTCTATGTTGTTTAACACAAAAAGACTTGCGTGGACCTGATCCACAATAATAGGTTATTTTGATTTTTACCACCTTCAAATAACGACTTTATTGAATTTACCACCTCCAAAAAAAAAAGATTTACTTTACCACCTCATAAAAAAATTAAACATCAGTTTTCCCACCTAAGCCTAACTCCGATGACGGAAACCGCCAGAGGGGCCCGCCATAACAGCTAGTTTTTGAAATTATCCCCAAATTCTCCCGATTTCCCATTGATTTAAACCTAACTTCTTCATTTCTACATCTATTTCGTGAAGATTGAAGTTTTTTTTTGCCATTTTCTTCACAAATTCGGATTTTGGGTGATCCTTAACAATCCCACATCCTCAAATTATCAAATTATTGAAGATTGTACTCGGCCCTGAATCAATTGAACTGTTCGACGACAAACAGCGAAAAGGTAAGCAATTTTCATGAATTCTGTTGTAATTTTTTGCAATTGTTTGCGTGATTATGTTACAACTGCTAAGTATAATTGAAATTGCATGTTTTCTGTTATTAATTCAACCCCAATTTCATATTGTAAATAATTAGGGTTCATGTAAGTGTAAATTAATTTGGGGGTTTTTGATATTTCAATTAGGCAGTAAAATTAAGGTTAGATTATGGTAATTGTGTTCAAATACAATTAAATTCAATGAAAATTTGGCAGTAGAAATGGTCACACTACCTCCGAATTACGAGAACAATTTTTTTCCAGAAGTCGAATCTATTCTTCGTCGCCGTTTGTTTTCTGAAACCTCTGTCATATAACAATCAGGTTCAGGAAACAGAAATTGAAGCAGCTCAGGTACGAGTAATTGTTGTTGCTCATCCACGGATTCGGTATTTATAAGATCAAACACGTTTTTGTTTGCAATCCTTAAGCCATTAAGGATACAAATCAGACCAAAAACCAAGCTATAAGCAAATTATAAGATGAACTTTGGCTCATTTACTACCCAAATTAAGGATTTGTAAAGAAAATTGCAAAAAAAAAAAAAAAACTTCAATCTTCAACAATTTGATGTGGAGATGAAGAAGGTTGTTTAAATAAGAGGAAAATCGAGAGAATTTAGGGATAATTTCAAAAACTAGCTGTTATGGCGGGCCCCACTGGTGGTTTCCGTCACCAGAGTTAGGCTTAGGTGGGAAAACTGATGTTTAATTTTTGTATAAGGTGGTAAAGTAAATCTTTTTTTTTTTGGAGGTGGTAAATTCAATAAAGTCGTTATTTGAAGGTGGTAAAAATCAAAATAACCACAATAATATTATTGTGGACCCGAGGTCTATACACACACAACTGACATTATATTGAACATAGTGACCATTATTTTTAACATAGTAACCTTATTTTTAACCTAGTAACCTTTATTAAAACTACTACAACGTTTAATAATATTGTGAACTTGAAATATGACGCTATTACCCTAATTTTAACATAATGGCCTTTATTATTCATATTGATCAGTATATAAAGTATTTCATTACAAAAATAACCACTTAGGCATATATATTACCAAAATAAATTTTTATTTCAATATAGTGAACTTTTTTTAATTATAGTGACCATTTTTTTATTAATAAAACAACCCTGTTTTCTCTAATGTTAGTGGTCCACAATAAATTAGTGTGAACCAGGTCCATTTAACAATTTGTATGTTTCACATCACTTTAAGGTACGTTTGTCTAATATGGATGTATTTTTTGCGTCTTTGGTAAATGACTTTTTAAATAATTGTGCTTTTAACTTTATAATTTTTTACCCCCGTTCTTTTTTACTTGACCCGTTTTGACTTTTACACTATTCACCCCCTTCTTTGACCATGTTTTGTGAATAATATGTAAGGAAAAACATATTTATGTTGGATTATTTTGAATTCGTCTCAATAAGTACTATCATAATATATAACTCTTATATTTTTTAATTATGGAGAATTAAAGTTATTAACCGTCAAAGTTTTGCATTGACAAGCGTGATAAAAGAAACAGGTCAAGTAAAAAAAGAACAGAGGAAGTATTTTTTATTTTTTTTAAAACAACTTTTTTAATTTAATGTGGGTAAATTTTTTTTTTTTTTTTTTTTGAAAGAGTAAAAAAGAACTTTTTCGGGAAAAAAAAACTAAGGGCTTGTTTGGCATCAGTTTTAGTTTTTAGTTTCCTGTTTTTTTTAAAACCAAAAACAAGAAACAAGAAAAAGGAGTTTCCACTTTTCCGTTGTCAGTTTTCATAATTATCATAATTTTAATAAGTTTATATGATATTTGATTCATTATGGGACTCATATCATATACTTTTAGAGAACAAAAAATCAAAAAACAGAAAACCACAACAATGCCAAACGAACCCTAAATTAGCTTTTTTTTTGCTAAAATTGTAAATCTAGATAATTTAAAGGATTTTTTGACAATTATTACCTAAAATTGCTGTTGTTGTTTTAGAAATTACCACCTACAGTTTTTTTTTTTTTTTTGTTATTTCATATTATTATTAAAATTTACCACCTACATTTTTTGAAAATGATAAAACTTTACATCATTTTAAAAGATGACGACATGGGGGGCCCACAAACGGTCTTCATTTTACCTCATTTTCCTTCCTCTTTCAATACTCGGTCTTTCTTCTTTATCTCCTTTTTAATTTTGCACAAATACTAAAATCATCAAATTGCAAAAATAAAAAAAATTAAGGATTGAAAGTCATTTTTTTTTTTACTTCGAATCTTCAAAAAAAAAAGGATTTCTAGCAATTTTATTTCAAGTTATGCCTCAATTTAGATGGAAGTGGAAGAAGAAGGAAGTGAGAACTGAGTGAAGAAATTAAAGAAAACGGAGTGAAATAGCAAGGATGACGTCATCTTTGAGGGGTTGGTCAAAGTGGTAGGAAATTTTTAGTGTTCTGGAAAAATGTACGTGGTAAATTAAAAAAAAAAAAAAAAAAAAAAAAAAAAAAAAAAACTGTTGGTAGTAATTTCTAAAATAGCAACAATTGTAGGTTATAATTGTCAAAAAAATTCTAATTTAAATTATTTAGGATTTTTTTTTCATAAACTTCCTAATAAAAATCTTTTTTGTGAGAAATTACTAATAATATAAAATAATACTCTCTCCGTTTCTGAAAGTTCGGCTCACTTTGTTACTGCCTCTAATAAACATCTTTGACCATTAATAATTTCGGTTATGTATAAGTAACATTTTTAAAAAGTTGATATCTAAAAATGTATCATAAAGGAAACTAATAAGATCAAACTTCTTAATTTATTTTGATTATATATTCATAAAATATGGTCAAATTTATTTTATTTTAACCACATATTAAGTGAGTCAAACTTTCACAAACGGATGTAGTATGTTGTAATAAACTACCTATTTAAAATTTTAAATACAAAATGTTGTAAAATATCAAGTACTTTGTATCAACTATCCTCTTATTCTCTCCAAAAAATCAACTATCAATATTATTAATTTATTATCTTTTAAGTTGTCTTATTTGTGAATGAAATTATTATTTTTTAAAAAAAAAAAAACCTAATGTGTCAAAAAAAAAAATTAATAGATGTGTCAAAAGTTATTTAATTGAACTTATTTTGTCCGATCTTGCATTATTAACTTACTAGATTAGATCCGTGCTATGCACGGATTACAAAAATTATTCAAATGAAATAGTAGCTTATTTCTATTATTTATTTTCCCGCATATACTAATAAATTAGATCACAAAAAAATATCTAACTATCATAATAAATTACATGAGTAACAAAATCTAATAATGAAAGCCAATGTGATCTAATCAAACCATATGCATACCAATTTATATACTCCATATCTAAGTGTTCAAATACAAAATAAAAATACTTGTAATTTAATTAAATAGAAGCACCTTGAAAACACAAAACACTGCTAACATTTACTTCATAGCATCCTTTAAAAAAAATTAATAATAACATTAAAACCAAAAAAAATTAAAAAAATCAATCGTAGTCACCTAAAATCTAATTATCTTGATATCAATTTATTTATTCCAACAAAAAAAAATATTTACGTATTTATTTATTGACACATTCAAAATATTGAAATGAAAATGATTAAAAATAAAACCAATTCCTCAAGAAAAAAAAAATATAAGTACTACCTCCGGATCGTATTATATGCAACTTTGGAATTTTTTATATCTTACATATAATACCCCAAATTTGCATATAATATGATCCCGATGTAGTATATGACATTATAAGTGCATTTGGCAGGAATTTTTTTTATGAAAAAGCGACACATATACAGTTTGGAGAGAAGATTATGTCATCAGTTTTCTGTTTTAGTTTCAGTTAATTGAATAGATATATTTTTTTTTTGACAAGAATTGAATAGATATATCATACTTCGTATATGTAAACATTTTTCTTATATTTTGTTTTTAAATTTTTTTTTTTTATTTTTAAAAAATAAGATAAGTTAAATTTGATTCACGGATCCTGCTTTAGGGTTATATTACTTTGGATTTACGTCAATGTCAACGATTTATTTTGTCTTGTATGTGAATAAATTGATTGATACTTTGCAAATTGCAAGTATTATTTGATGTTCAAGCTCAACATCACAGTATCACACATATTTATTCAACCAATTTATTCTATTAGCAAAGTATCAACAAAAACTTTTGCATGCCCCCGGTTTACAATAATTTTATTGTACATCGAACTTTTTACGTGTGTAAACCGTAATATTTTCACATAATTGATTTTTTTTTTTTTTTAAAAAGACTTTTTTTTTACAAAAGTAACCCATATTTTCACACAAGTGACCCTTTTTTTTTTTTTTTTTTTTTTTTATAGAAGTGACCCTTTTTTTTCACAAAGTGACCCATATTTTCTCAAAAATGGCCTTTTTTTTTTGTAAAAGTGATCCATATTTTCACAAAAATAACTTTTTTTTTTTACAAAAGTGACCTTTTTTTTTCAAAAGTGACTCTTTTTATTTCACAAAATTGACCCTTTTATTTTCACAAAACTTAATACACGATGTAAAAATGTACAGAAAAACAACGAAAGTAACGCAATTAAAAATTGAAATCAAAATTCAACAATAGCAAAACCATATAATGTAGGAAATAAGTGATTCTCCTTAATCAAAGGAGTTAATTAGGTTGTAATTATGTTAGGAATATATTCTGCTTAGCTGTATTTCCTTGTTTATCATAGCTCTTTGTGTATAAATGTAATGATAACCAAGAGTAATAAATATACAGAAATTGAAAACCAAAAACACAATTCCGCTTATTTTACACATGGTATCAGAGCCGTAAGGTTCCGATCTTCGGGAAACCGAAACCTATTTAGTCTCATCATCTACCGGAAGGTTACCTTAAAATGGGGGACTCACCGGACGACAACAAAAAACTGATTTCAATAGAGCAGATGGAACAAATGTTCCAGATGTTTCAAAAATTAAACAAAAACCCAATCAACCCAGAATCTGGAAATGCACAAAGTGTGCGTATTTCAGAAAAACTCAATTACACAAATTACACCAAATGGTGTAAGTTGATGCAAATTGCAATTGGTGGCCGAGGAAGACTCGACCACATCACAGGCAACCCTTTAACATCAGACAACCCAGAATACGCCCAATGGGCCCAACGGGACTCAATAGTGTTCTCGTGGATAATCGAGAATATCGACGGAGATCTAGTTAATCAATTCCTTGATTATAAAACTTCCAGAGATCTCTGGAAAGGAATAGAGACTCTCTTGAGTAGTGGGAGAGACGAACTTCAAATCTATGATCTGAACTTGAAGGCAGCATCAATTAAACAA